GTCATGGGGCCGTTATGGGGCCGTTATGGGGCCAGAATGGGGGCACAACGGGGCTGTTATGGGGCCATTATGGGGACACAGTGGGGACATTATGGGGACAGAATGGGGACAGATTGGAAACACTGGGGCCGTTATGGGAACACAGTGGGGCCATTATGGGGCCACTATGGGGTCATTATGGGAACACAATGGGGACACAATGGCGCCGTTATAGGGCCAGGATGAAGCCGTTATGGGGACACTATGGGGACAGAATGGGGCCAGGATGGGGCCAGAATGGGGACACAATGGGGCCGTTATGGGGCCAGAATGGGGCAGTTATGGGGACATTATGGGAACACAATAGGGACACAATGGGGCCATTATAGGGCCATTATATGGCCATGATGGGGCCATTATAGGGTTATTATGGGGACTCAGTGGGGCCATTATAGGGCCAGAATGAAGCCGTAATGGGGACACAGTGGGGACTCAATGGGGCCTTTATAGGGCCAGAATGAAGCTGTTATGGGGACACAATGGGGACACAATGGGGCCGTTATGGGGACACAAAGGGGGCGTTATGGGGCCACTATGGGGCCACAATGGGGCTGTTATGGGGACTATGGGGACACAATGGGGACACAATGGGGTGACTATGGGGTCATTATAGGGCCGTTATAGGGCCACTATAGGGTCATTATGGGGCCACTATAGGGCCATTATAGGGCCATTATAGGGCCACAATGGCGCGATTATGGGGCCATTATGGGGCCATTAAGGGGGCTCAATGGGGTCGTTATGGGGCCAGAATGAAGCTGTTATGGGGACACAACGGGGACAGAATGAGGCCATTATGGGGTCATTATGGGGACACGATGGGGCCATTATGGGGCCGTTATAGGGCCACTATGGGGCCATTATAGGGCCATTATAGGGCCACAATGGCGCGATTATGGGGCCATTATAGGGCCGTTATAGGGCCATTATAGGGATATTATAGGGTCACTATGGGGCCATTATAGGGCCACTACGGGGCCATTATAGGGATATTATGGGACCATTATGGGACCATTATGGGGACTCAATGGGGCCATAATGGGGTCAGAATGAAGCTGTTATGGGGACACAATGGGGTCATTATGGGGACACAATGAAGCTGTTATGGGGACACAGTGGGGCCAGAATGGGGCCATTATGGGGCCGTTATGGGGCCATTATAGGGATATTATGGGGTCGTTATAGGGCCATTATAGGGCCACTATGGGGCCATTGTAAGTTCATTATGGGGCCATTATAGGGTCATTATGGGGTCACTATGGGGCCATTGTAGGGTCATTATGGGGCCGCTATGGAGCCATTATGAGGTCATTATGGGGACATTATGGGGACACAATGGGGCCATGATAGGGCCATTATGGGGTCATTACAGGGTCATTATGGGGCCATTATAGGACCATCATGGGGACTCAATGGGACCATTATAGGGCCAGAATGAAGCTGTTATGGGGACACAATGGGGTCATTATGGGGTCATTATTGGGACACAGTAGGGTCATTATAGGGTCATTATGGGGACACAATGGGGCCAGAATGGGGTCACTATGGTGCCATTATGGGGCCGTTATAGGGCCGTTGTAGGGTCAATATGGGGCCATTATAGGACCACTATGGAGTCATTATGGGGTCAATATGGGGACACAATGGGTCCATTATAGGATCATTATGGGGCCGTTATAGGGCCATTATAGGGATATTACGGGGTCGTTATAGGGCCATTATAGGGCCACTATGGGGCCATTGTAAGGTCATTATAGGGCCATTATAGGGTCATTATGGGGTCACTATGGGGCCATCATACGGCCACTATGGGGCCATTAGGGGTCATTATGGGGCCATTATAGGACCATCATGGGGACTCAATGGGGCCATTATAGGGCCAGAATGGGTTCACTATGGTGCCATTATGGGGCCGTTATAGGGCTGCTGTAGGGTCAATATGGGGCCATTATAGGGCCACTATGGGGTCATTATAGGGTCACTATGGGGCCGTTATAGGGCCGTAATATGGACGCAAATTTCCGTACCTGCGCTGCCATCCCCATGAAGGCCCAGAGCCGGAACATCTTCAGCGGCACGCTGACCAAATACTGCAGGCAGAGCAGCACGCGCGTGTGTCACACGAGAGGAGGGGGGGGGGGGGAGTTTTGCACGCGCGCGTGCAACGCTCACCTCGTGGAAGAAGGCGGAGGCCAGAAACACGGCGGTCTGCGCCGTCCATTTGCTCACACCGCGCTTCAGCATCGGCTTGTAGAAGTGCCTGGGGGGGGACAGGTGTGTTGCACGGCAAGTGTGCAAAGGGGGGGGGCGACGGGAGTGCAAAGGGGTTGGCGTGGGGTTGGTGTGCAATGGTGGTGAGCAGCGGTTGGTGTGCAATGGTGGTGCAAAGGGTTGGTGTGCAATGGTGGTGCATGGGGCTGGTGTGCAAAGGGTTGGTGTGCAATGGTTGGTGCGCAACTGTGGTGCAAAGGGCTGGTGTGCAATGGTTGATGGTCAAGGGTGCAAAGGGTTGGTGTGCAATGATGTGCAATGGTGGTGCATGGGGCTGGTGTGCAATGGTTGGTGTGCAATTGTTGGTGTGCAACGGTTGGAGTGCAATGGTGGTGCACAGGGTTGGTGTGCAATGGTTGGTGTGCAATCGTGGTGCAAAGTGTTGGTGTGCAGTGGTGGTGCAATGGTTGGTGTGTGATGGTGCACAGGGTTGGTGTGCAATGGTGGTGCAGTGTTGGTGCACAGTGTTGGTGCCATTTGCTCACACCGCGCTTCAGCATCGGCTTGTAGAAGTGCCTGGGGGGGGGAGAGGTGTGTTGCACGGCAAGTGTGCAAAGGGGGGGGCGACGGGAGTGCACAGGGGTTGGCGTGGGGTTGGTGTGCAATAGTGGTGAGCAATGGTTGGTGTGCAATGGTGGTGCAAAGGGTTGGTGAGCAATGGTGGTGTGCAACTGTTGGTGTGCAACTGTGGTGCAAAGGGCTGGTGTGCAATGGTTGATGGTCAAGGGTGCAAAGGGTTGGTGTGCAATTGTTGGTGTGCAATGGTGGTGAGCAATGGATGTGCAATGGTTGGTGTGTGATGGTGCACGGGGTTGGTGTGCAATGCTTGGTGTGCAATATTGCATGGTGCTGGTGTGCAATGGTGCATGGGGTTGGTGTGCAATGGTTGGGGTGCAGTGGTTGGTGTGCAATGGTGGTGCAAAGGGTTGGTGCGCAATGGTTGGTGCACAGCAGCATTGCACGGGGGTGGCTGTGTGCTGTTGGTGTAACACGGCCGTGTTGCAGCTGCAGTGTTGGTGTAACAGGACTGCAGTGTTTGTTGGTGTAACACGGCTGTAGTGTGACTGCAGTGTTGGTGTAACACGACTGCAGTGTTGGTGTAACATGGCTGCAGTGTTGGTGTAGCACGACTGTAGTGTCACTGCGGTGTTGGCAGAACACAACCACAGTGTTGGTGTAACACAACTGAAGTGTGACTGCAATGTTGGTGTAACACAACCGCAGTGTTTGTTGGTGCAACACAACGGCAGTGCTGGTGTAAAATGACTGCAGAGTTTGTTGGTGTAACTCGACAGCAGTGTTGGTGTAACACCACAGTAGTGCAACAGGAGTGTTGGTGTAACATGAGTGCGGTGTGACTGCAGTGTTGGTGTAACACAACTGCAGTGTTTGCTGGTGTAACATGACAGCAGTGTTGGTGTAACATGGCTGCAGTGTTGGTGTAACACGACAACAGTGTTGGTGTGACACACCTGCAGTGTTGGTGTAACACTGCGGCAGTGTTGGTGCAACATGGCGGCAGTGTTGGTGTGACACACCTGCAGTGTTGGTGCAACACGACGGCAGTGTTGGTGCGACACACTGCAGTGTTGGTGTAACATGACGGCAGTGTTGGTGCAACACGACAACAGTGTTGGTGTGACACACTGCAGTGTTGGTGAGCAGCGTTACCTGAGGCACCACTTGTGCACGGGGATGTTCCAGTTCTGCCAGAAATACGTCACCGACTCCGAGTTCCTGCGGGGAAACCCCACAAATGTGGGATCGCAAACAAAACCCCACAACAGCACCCCAAACATAGGGGGCGGTGAGGGGCACCCCATAACCACCCCATACATATGGGGTCAATGAGGGACACCCCATAACCACCCCATACATATGGGGTCAATGAGGGGCACCCCATAACCACCCCATACATATGGGGTCAATGAGGGACCCCAAAACCCCCACCGCATAGATATGGGGGCAGTGAAGGAAACCCCATAACCACCCCATAGATATGGGGTCAATGAGGGACCCCATAGCCCCCACCCCATAGACATGGGGGCAGTGAAGGAAACCCCATAAACACCCCATACATATGGGGTCAATGAGGGGCACCCCATAACCCCCGCCCCATAGATATGGGGATGCTGAGAGACCCCCAGAACCCCCACCCTATAAATATTGGGTCACTGAGGGACTCCCCACAGCCACCTCATAGATATGGGGGCACTGAAGGACACCCCATAACTACCATCCCATAGATATGGGGACACTGAGAGACCCCAAAACCCCCACCCCATAGATATGGGGGCAATGAGGGACACCCCATAACCACCCCATAGATATGGGGATCCTGAGGGACCCCCAGAACCCCCACCCTATAAATATGGGGTCACTGAGGGACCCCCCACAGCCACCCCATCCACCCCATAGGTATGGGGGCACTGAAGGACACCCCATAACTACCATCCCATAGATATGGGGTCAATGAGGGGCACCCCACAACCCCCCCCCCCATAGATATGGGGGCAGCCAAGGAAACCCCATAACCACCCCATACATATGGGGACACGGAGGGAGCCCTATAACCCCCACCCTATAAATATGGGATCACTGAGGGACCCCCCACAGCCACCCCATGAATATAGGATCAGTGAGGGACCCCCATAACCACCCCATACATATGGAGACACTGAGGGACCCCATAACCCTCACCCTATAGATATGGGGGCAGCCAAGGAAACCCCGTAACCACCCCATAGAT